ATCCGGCTCGGCTTGTTCCTCATCATCTCGGGCGTCGTGCTGCTCTTCATCTTCGGCTTCTGCTGGCTCAGCCCCGCGCTGCAGGACCTGCAAGCCACGGCGGCCAACTGCACGGTGCTGTCGGTGCAGCAGCCGGGCGAGGTGTTCGAGTGCACCTTCAGCTGCGGCGCCGACTGCCGGGGCACCGCGCAGTACCCCTGCGTGCAGGTCTACGTGAACAACTCCGAGTCCAACGCCAGGGCGCTGCTGCACAGCGACGAGCACCAGCTGCTCACCAACCCCAAGGTAAGGCGCCCGGGGCTGAGGTTTAGGGGAGCTCGGCGGGGGGCCCGCGCGGCTGGGCTGCGAGTCCGCTCGAGTTACTAGGAGGCGGCGAGGCGTCGGAGGCTGCGCTCCAAGCAGCAGGAAGAACTTGGGGAGCCCCGGGCGGGCCCTGCAGGTGGGTTTGCGCGCGGTGGCCGGGCTGCCCTGAAGCTTTCTTGACACTCGTGTTGCCTGGCCTCGGATTTGGGGACCAGCGCGTGCAGGATGGGCTTTGGAGAAACGCGAGGAGCCGAAAGTTAACTTTTCCTCTGAGGGAGCCAGTGGGGAGCGGGGATCCGCCTGCTCTGGTCCAGGTCCGAGCTCCCCCGGGCTGCGTCTGGAGCTCGCCTCGCAAAGTCGAGGGGCGTCTTTGATCCCCTGGAAAGGTGTTAGAGGGTCCCTTGCCTTTTAAGTCTAGGCAAAGATTTTTAACTTGGGGTCCAGAGGTGAACTTTTGAGGTCGACAAGCGATGTAGAATCTAATGTGCAATTCTGCCTCGGTCCTTCGCGGACAGAGGACTCAAAAGTTTTCATGAAATAGATTCCCAGAAAGGTCTCGAGGAAGCCTAGAGACTCTGCGTGTCTGGGGACAACTGGAAGCCATTTGGAGAACAGTAAAATTTACTGAAAATAGAAAACCCTGGGTGAAATGCACCCAATATTCCTTTCCTGGCAGCTTCTTTTGTTCTCACAAGCAAAAAAAGAAAAAAAAACCTGGTTAGGACTCAAGGGATGGAGAACAGAGAATGGAAGACGTAGAAAACTGTTCCCGGTGGAGGAAAAAACTTATAAAAAGCAGTGTCCTCAGTCGGTGAGCTAATTGAGCTTTGTAGTACACCTGCTTCTGCAAGAAGGATTTTCTTTTTTCTTCCCTTGGTCTTTTTTACTATTCTTGCTGCTTGACTGTCAAAGTGAAGGTGTGTGTCTTCCTTAACACCACTGACACTTTCCCTCTGTGGGGGCTGTGCTAGCACATCAAGGAGGAAAACAGTCCAGGAGGGAATACATCTTGTGTACACGGGAAAACTTTGTTAAATGTGATACAATATAAATATATCAATCCAAAAGAAAAAAGACTATATTAGTGTCTTTAAAGTATTTAACATAAGCTTACCATTCCTCTATAGCAAAATTTGGTCTTGTGTTCTCAACAGTAAATTCCTGAATTTGGGAAATTTTTAAAAAGGAGTTCCTTATTAAAAAAAAAAAGATGACCCTTCTTAAAAAAGATGCTCCTGCTGACAAATGTATATTCATTTACCGTAAAAATGAATAGACAGTGAGTGTAGACGTACAGAATTTAGAGTATAATGTTCAGAGTCTTGAGGAAACAATAATTTTTCAAAGACAAATGTCAGTTAATCTGCTTAATGCTCAGGAGTTTCAAAAGAAATAGGGTTTTAGAAACATCACCCTTTTAAAAAACATTTAACTCTTAAAATAAAAGAAAGGTGCCAAGCAGTAATAGTCATTTAGAAATTATATGGTAGTGTATCATTTAGGAGGCGTTAAAATTGGTGAAACATTGCTGGTTAGTTTAAGATAGTGGTTTAGTCACTAATAAATTACATGCACATATATGAATAAATGGCTAATATCTAATCAAAACATTGAAAAGTTAGAATTTACTTCAAAGAGACTGCTTCCCAATTTCCATGCAGTTTTGAAGGATCTGGCAGAAAAAGTAAATTGGGATAATTAGGACCTAGGTTTTTAAATCATTTGGAAGTAGTCATCATGCTTTATGTAATACTACAATTTTCTCTATCTCTTTTTGTTACAAATAATTTGTTTTCTTCCAGTGCTAGTTCAGATCCTAGCAACCATTGTTTTGAAGAAATATCTGAACAAAATAACACGGCATAAAGTAAAGTTATTCAAGAAATGACAGAACTGGAGAACGATCTATTTCTGTTACAGAAAATAATGAACAACATCCCAGTTAATTTAGTCAAGGTTTCCTCAGCCAAAGCAGTATATATCTCTCTATCCAAATTGTGATTGCTCTGTAGCATTTATAGAACGTAAGTTTGTTCTTTTATAGTCACCTTTCTACTTTGGGGCAATTAAATGCTCAATTTGGAAATTCTCGTAAGCAGTTAGTGATGGAAAAATTCAACGTCACTGAAATGTTGTGCCAGAGTCCAGTAAATAAGCAGAATGTTTCCACAGTGCCCTTGCTGTTAGGCACGAGCCATTGCTCATTCCCTTGCGTTTGGGCTGCCCACGTCCTTGTTCTGCCTCGTCTTACCACTTTCCCGAGGGCCTGTGCCCCACACAGTCCCTGCATCGGGAATGTCGGGGCTCCCTACAGCACCATGGATCCGAACCCCCCGACCTTCTCTTCTTCATGACCCACCGCCACAGGAAGCCATGTAGGACATTGCTTCTTAGAAAACAGGGGACAGGGACTGTCCCCCCTCTTTTGAGTTTGCCATCTTAATCACAGTAAAAGGCAGGGAAAGGGGAATATATTGCAAATATATAACTTCTTAAGCCCATAGACTACTAAAGAAGAAAGTGTGAATAAATTTGACTTTTGACTAATAATTTCTTTAAAATATTTTCAAGTCCTCTTCACTGATTTATGTTTTGAATCATATTCTTATTATCTAAAGTTATTGCTGTATCCAGTCATGTAATATAGTATTCAAGGCAGCTAGTTATACACAGGGCAATGATCTGCTCTGTGAATTCTCATAAAATCTAAATTTGGGATCAGCTTCCGCTTGCTCCTGTTCCATCGCTGCATTATTTCTTTGTGACTTGTGTGTGCTAAGGACTTTGATTCTTAACTGCAACTGTGCATTAGAATCACTGGGGAACTTTAAAAAGAAATTCTCAGTGAGTCCAGCCCTCAGAGATTCAGACTTGGTCTTGGATGGGCCTGGGCATTAATGTTTTTTAAACAGTTCTGGAAGTGATTTCAATGTGTAGACAGAGTCAAAGCCACTGGCTTAGAAATAGTGCTGAACTATTTTGCAAGAAAAGTAAAACAAGAACCAAAAGGATTCATCATGATTAATGTTTGTGGTTTTAGGTCAAAAGATATTACTGATGCTACTGAATAAATATAGAAAGTTGGATAAAAGGAGGAAATCAAGGACATTCTGAAGACAAGAAAAAAGTCATTTAAAATTACAGTTGAGCTGTGAACAACACAGGTTCGAAATTCATGGGTCCACTTATACATGGATTTTTTTTTTCAATAAATACAGTAAATGTATTTTTTCTTCCTTATGAATTTTTAAATATTTTATTTTCTCTAGCTCACTTTCTTGCAAGAATACAGTATATAATACATATAACATACAAAGTATGTGTTAATCAACTGTTTATGTTACTGGTAAGACTTCCAGTCAACAGTAGGCTATTAGTAAAGTTTAGGGGGAGTCAAAGTTATAGATGGATTTTTGACTGTATGGAGTGTTGATGCCCCTAAACCCATGTTGTTCAAGGATCAACTGTAGTGTGGAAATGATCATTTTAAATTGTTTAAGTATAAATGAAGTGAACTTATGCAGTTCCACACATTTGCTTTGGCATCAGTATATACATGGTATGGCAAAGAAAGGGTGGATTTTTAAAACCGGCTTCTTAATATGTGGAACAAGAGAGAATGGGTGATTAGAAGCTATATGTTTAATTTTTGTTTAAAGTTTTTTTCTTTCTCTGATATGAAAGATATAGAAACAAAGGACAAAAGTCTATCTGAGAAATCAGTATTGTGAAAGTGAGAGAAATGCACTGATGAGAAGGAAAACAGGTGGAATTAGAAGGGGCTTCAAGCTTTAGGTACATCCACTGAAGCTGGATGTCCCTAACTACAGGGCATTGCAGTTTGCAGGCACCTTCTTGGGATTCTTCACGTCCATACGAGTGTGTCCCCCACTCCCCACCACATATACTCCCTGGGTAGACAGTGTGTTCTGATAGGGTTCATTTCTGAACTCAGTCCTTGAAGTAAATGTTCAATGTGATACGCTCTCTGCTCTATGGAAGCCCCTCTTATCAAAACTAAGTGATAAAAGGCTAAGCTGAATTGTGATGACTTCTCTACTGTCTATTTCTCCACGACAAAGTGACTTACTGTAGTTTTTTCTCTGGTGATTATATTAAGTAACTTTTGGTAAGTATGTGAAATTCAGTTCTAAGGCATCTATTCTATATGGCCAAAGAAATGGGCAAGAAGCAGGAGGACATACAAAGATGAGTTTAATCATTTAACAAATATTTATTAAATGCCTACTCTGTGCTATGCATGCTTCTAGGTTCTGACACTAGAGCAGAGGTCAATATAAAGCCTCTGTCCTCATGAAGTTTACGTTTTAGTGGAGCGTGACAGATAAGAATTAGATTTATAATGTAATGTCACGTAATGATATGTGTGTAAAGAAAATTCAAGCAGTGTAGGGCTATAGACAACAATGGAAGAAACAAAGGGTTGCTGCTTTGCATAGAATAGTCAGGGAAAGTGGCTCTGATGGAGTGACATTGGCACAGGTACACAAATAACTTGAGGGGATGAGCAGAATTCTAAAGGACTTAGAGGAATGAATCATGTGGCTCTCCAAAGGACAAGTTCCATAGGCTGAGGGAACAGCAAGTACAAAGGCCCTGAGGCAAGTGACTGCCAGGCAAAGGAACACTGAGGTAGGACAACCGTGAGCAAAGTGGAAGACAGTGTGGGATGAGATTATGGCCTTACAGAATATGATGGTAAACAAACATTAAGCAGGACTGAGATATAACCAGACTTAGGCTCTTAAAAAATGTAAATGGTTCCTCTGGCTGCTGAGTTGAGAACAGAATATGTGTGTGTGCAGGCATGCTCGCTTGTGCAAGGTAAGAAGTGCAACAGGGAGGCAAGATTGGCAACAGGGAGTCCAGTAGCACAGGGAGAAGATGATGATGATTTAAATTGGGGGGGTAGCATTGGTAAAGTTCACTAATGGACTAGATGTAAGGAATGAAGGAAAGGG